TTTCTTAGTTTTGACTTAAGTGTTTTTCACTTTCTTCTTAGTTTATCAAGCATTTTGAGTTGTTTCTTCAGCCAATTTGCTCAGGGAACCTGGTCCATCATTCTGAAGAAAATCCAAATCTCCCCTTCTCATCACAGCCAAGTTCTTTTAAAGAATAAATGACGTTCAGGCTTTCTAAGCCTTCACCTTCCATTCACTTGTAGCCCCTGAAGACAGGCCTCCACACCATCTTCCTGTGAACCTGCTCAGGTAAACGTGACCAATGGGCTTCAAGTTATCACATCCTAGACACTCCTCTTCCCTCATCTTACTTGAATGCTTCTTAACATTAGATACTACTGATCTCTTAAAATCCTCTCCTGACTTGGGTTCCATGTTTCTGTTCTTTCCAAGTTCTCTTCTATTTCTCTGACTGTACCTTCTCTGTCTACTCTTTCTTGTGGTATTGCTATAGTTCTAGAATTCTCTGTTGGGGTGGCCATTATATGCTACTGACTTCCAAATCCATATCTCCATGGCTCCAAGTACCTTCAGGAGGCCCTTCAAACTCAGTAGGCCCAGGAGGGAGCTCATTGTTTTCCTCCCAAACCTGCTCTTGCTAATCTGCTAGATGGGGCCACCAAGCAGCTGGTCCCCCAAGTCAAAACACCCGGGAATCACTTGGGGCCATCCCCACTTCCCCCTCACTTCCCATATCCAATCAATCTTGTAGTTTCTATCTCTTTAAAAAATTGTTCAATTGATTGATTTGAGAGAGAGAGAAACATCAATTTGCTGTTCCACTTACTCATGCATTCATTGGCTGATTCTTGTATGTGTCCTGAGTGGGGATCGGACTTGCAACCTTGGCTTGTCAGGACAACACTCTAACCAACTGAGCTACCTGTCCAGGGCTAAAATCTCTTGCATCTAGTTCTCTTTCCCATCTCTATTGCTGCTGCCTAGGGTCAGGTCCTCCTCTCCTATCTTGTCTGGGTTGCTAGAATTGCCTCTTTAGTTCCCTTACCAGCAGTCTTGCCTTCCTCTAACCATCTGTACCAAGTTCATTTGGTTCCGAAAAGTTGTCTTTCTAAAACACAAGTACAATCAATCTACCTCCTTGCTTAGAACCCCAAGAAAAGTACATTTCCAAGTGCATTTTCATGTCTCTCTGTCTCTCCAACACTACGTTTCAGCTCCTCCATCAGCCCTCTTCACTCTGTACACCTGGGAGTGCTACCCTGCTGCTCATGATTCTCCTAAATGCCGGTGAGTTTCATCTTAGGATCCTGCTCATACTGCTCCCTATGCCAGGAATAATCTCCTGCCTTCCCTTGCCTCATAAAAGCCTGTCTATCTAGGAAACTTTCTTTGATCTTCCAAGAGTCAGCTGTAGCATGGCCTGTGTCTGAAACCCTCCCTGCCTGCTCAGCCTGTCCCTGCAAAGCTGAATCACCCATGCCCTCTTAACTGCCCTCACTGACCCATCACAGGTGTACGCTAGAGCTTATATAACACATGGTTGCTTTATTTCCCAGGCTTGTCTCTATTAGATTGTAAGTTCCCTGAGGGCAAGGACCCTGACTTATCTTTGTTTCTATGTTGTCCTGGGACACTGCAAGTATTGAATAAGCAATTGTAGAATGAATGACTGAAGATGAACTACTGCCTTCTTGGTAGTAATGACACCACTCCTTGCTCACCAAGGCAAACTGCGCTGGCTCCCCAAGAAGGCGGAGAGTCTTGGTGCACTGCAAGCAAGTGGCAGCTGTAAGACCAGGTGACCTAGTCAGTGGAGCCTGGGGAATAAGACTTCTTCCTGGAAAAGTGAATCCTGACAGCTCCAGGGAATCTCATGACAGAGCAGGACTAACAAGGAGTTTATAGATTGCGATATGGGGCCCAGCCCTAAGATTAAAGAGGCTTACACGAACAGACACTCTGCTGAGGTCTTCAGGGATGGTAGGAGAGCTAGGCTGCCCCAGAAAGCACAGGTAGGTTGGTCAGTCTGTCCCCGTGCAGCTTGGGACCGAAAGGCAAGGTAGATGCATCACCTAGGAAAGCTCTGACTTGAGCAGATGTCTCAAACTCTCAGGAATAGGGCGAGAAGGATGTAACTAATCTCCCGCCTCCACCCTATTGTGTCTAATTTCCCACCTTTATCTAGATCTTGAAGACCAGTCCCTGAAAAAGCATGAAATGCTTCAATGCTGAGTAAGTACAGAAAGAGCAGGTTGTGGCTTCAACACTTAATTATACGTGAGCGTGGGCAAGTCGCTTACCTTGCCTAGGTCTTGGCTGCCTCACCCATAAACTGCGCACACCCTGACATGCCTCAGCCACTTCACAGGATTGCAGTAAAGGTCAAATCATCACAATAAGAATAGCTCTTCTTTTTATATCACCTCTGTGTGTCAGACTATGCTAGGTGCTTTATGTATCTTTATCCATCCTTACAGCATCTCTGAGATAGAACTATTATCGGCTCCATTTTATAGGTAAGTGAATCGAGGTTTAGGGAGGTAAAATACCTTGCTAACATTGAATGCTAGCAAGTGAGCTGACTGAAGTGGCATTTGATCTGTGGGCCTAGTGGCCTGGTTCCCTGAGCTGTATATTCAGGTACATGGCTGACCTTGCTATTTAGGAGGTAAGCTTTTTTCTTTCTTGGTCTTTCAGCTACACTGGCAACATTTAGTAAAGTTTAGGAAAGATTAGTCTCTTTCCCTGGGCCTCAGAGATGTGTGCTCTTGAGGGGCCAGCTTTCCCTACCCGACTTGCAGGGGTTAGTGAATATACTGTGTTGAATAGTGTCCCCCCAAATTTATGTCCATCCCAGAACCTGGGAATATGATCTTATTGGGAAATAGGATATTTGCACATGTCACCAAGTTAAAATTACTTGGACTCATACTGGATTAGGGTGGGCCCTAACTTGGTGACTGGTGTCTTTATAAGGAGAGAAATTTGGACAGAGACGCAGACACAGAGGGAAGACGACCATACGAAGATGGAGGCAGAGCTTGAAGTTATGCTTCCACAAACCAAAGAACACCAGGGATTCTAGGAACCGCCAGGAAACTAGAAGAGACAAGGAATGGTTCTTCCCTGGAGACTTCAGAGAGAGCATGGGTCTGCTGACACCCTGGTTTCAGATTTCTGGCTTCCAGAACTGTGAGAGAATAAATTTCTGTTATTTTAAGCCACCCAGTTTGTGGTGTTACAGCAGGGCTAGGAAACTAACACAGTCACCTAGTGCTGTGCCCACCACAGCTGGGAGCCCAAGGGGTGGGTGGTGGAGAGTCCAGGAGACCAATTTAATGGACTAGAGAAGGGAGCTGCCCACTGCGGGTGGGGGTGAGGGAGAGCAGTATAAAAATAAGGTGTTTACTCATCTAGCTACACTGACCCATTTGTAGACAGTGCCTCTGTCTGACTGCATGTGTGCGTGTGGAGTGTGTCTGCTATCTTGTTTTTTTTTCTGGTGAAGGGGGGTGTTCTTCAGGTTGGTGACAATTTACTAGGTGAAGACTCCATTTGAGAAACTCCTCCTTTTACCCTTTGGTTATCTCTTCCCCTAAACCTTAGACAATAAAACTGGGCTTAGAGCAGTTAAAAAACTTTCCCAAGTTTTCATAGCCAGTTAGTAAGAAAAGGAGAATTCAGATTCAGAATTGCCTTTTTCACAATCTCAACCTCTTTCTCAAACTAAAGAAAGTGAATTCTTTTTAGAAGGATAGAGGTGATTTTATCGTTTATAAGCATTACCCTAAATTTGAAAGTAATACTTGTTTATTTGTTAAATATTTAGAAAATACTGAAATGTTTAAAGAAAAAGTAAAAAATTCTGGCAATAACTACTGATCATATTGGATAATTTCCTTCTGGTCTTTTTTTTTCTCTGCAGATGTATAGTATCAATAAAATTAGAATAGCACTATGAACAGTTTTGTATTTTTGCTTTTTCATTTAACATGATCTCATTTATCATTATTATCATTCATTTAACATTTTCTAATTTCATTACTTTTTATAAACATAATTTTTTATTACTAAATAATATGATGTGGGTGGGCCATAATTCTTTTGTCTTCTACTATTGCCTACTTAAGTTTCTAACCTTTTACAATGATAAACATGCAACAGTTAAAACTTTTTGTAAACATTTGTTCTCTATTATTTCTTGAATACAGGAGATAATTCCAGGTCAGTGGGTATGAATATTTTAGGGTATTTGATACATGATGCCAAATTGTTTACCAAAAGGGTTCTATCTAAGAGCAGAATGGGAGTGCTTCACTAGCACCCTTCCAGAGATTGAGTACTATCATTAAAAAGGCCCTGCCAGGTAGCTTAGTTGGTTAGAGGGAGTCCCAAACCCCAAAATTCCAGGTTCCATCCCCTGTCAGGGCACGGTACAAGCATCAACCCATTAATGCATAAATAAGTGGAACAAGTCGATATTTCTCTCTCAAATCAGCTTGAAAAAAAGCCTTAGTATGTTCTGAAAAGGGGCATCCCATGATTAATCATACAGGCTGCTGGGCGTCCAAAGGATTCCAGTGGGGAGACCAGGTAGCAGGCGGTTGCGATGATCCCGCTGGGACGTGACGGGGTAGAGGATAGGGAGTAGGGATGAAGGGAACCAGAAAACACGTGGGACTCTTAGAATATTGGATGCGGGGAAGTGGCGGTGCTGATAAGGTAACCTGCCCTGAGTGGGATGTAGGGTAGGGCGGAGGAGGCGCGTTCCGCTTGGCCTCCTCGGCGACGCCCTCTCACCCACTGGTGATGGGGGGCCGAGAGGCGCAAGGAGCACTCCTCCCACCCCTTTAACAGGGACACTCCCCTTTAAGGCGGGCGCCCGCGCGCACCCGGCCCCGCCCTTCGGGGGCGCGCGCGGCGGCCGCGGCGCCGGCTCCGCTGGGAGCGCACGTGCCGGCGCCGGGCGGAGGAGCAGGAGGCGGGAGCCGGGCCGCGGGAGGAGGGGAGGCGCCGGGCGCGCGCGCGCGCGCGCGCGCGCTGGGCGCTGCTGGGCTGCGGCGGCGGCGGCGGCGGTGGCGGTTACTATGGCGGAGTCGGCCGGAGCCTCCTCCTTCTTCCCCCTAGTCGTCCTCCTGCTCGCCGGCAACGGCGGGTCCGGGCCCCGGGGGATCCAGGGTGAGTCCCGGGGCGGGGGGCGGAGGCCGGGATGGAGAGGGCCGGGCGAGGGCGAGGCCTTGCGCCGCGGCGCCTGGGCTACAGCGCGCCCCCTCCCCACGCGCACAATATGGCCGGGCGGGGGGCGCAGAGGAGTCGGGGTGACCGCCAGTGGCCTTTCCCGACCCCCTAGGCTTGCGCGCCTAGCCGCGACAGAGCTCACGCCGGGCCCCTGGGGACCCGAGTCGTCTTCCAGGCGGAGCTGAATTCGGGGAGCTCTTGGGGGTCGCGCTCCCAGCACCCTGATGTTCCATAGAGGGGAGTGCCGGTTTCTTTCCCAAAATGTAGAGCGCATGTTTCGTCCCCTTCGCTTGTTTAGGGGCCGGGGTCCTCATTCCTTCCCTCCAGATGCTCCTGGGGGATGCCTTTTCTCCCGCCAAGATCCTGGGGCTGGGGCGATGAGGTCTTTGCTTTCCAAGGTATCCTGATGCTGAGAGTCCTTACGCATCTCAGAAGATAGGGGAAGGGGTCTCTAACCTTTCCTTCAAATCCTGCACTTGGGCGTTTCTTCTCCTCCCTCAGGTTCTGGGAAAGGGAGTCACATTTCCCCTTCACCCAGTCCCTTGAGTTCGGTGGGGCAAACCGCCCCCCACCGCCAATACACATGACGTGTGGAAGCTCTTTGGAGGAAGTGGGACGAATAGGCCCCTCAGCCGTTTTGGAGTTTGCCTTTGGGATCCCTCTAACCCTAGGAAACCTAGTTCCAGAATGGTTAATCTGCATCTAGGTGTATTTGCTTTCCATCTCGCCTCCCCCACCCCACCCCAGGGGGCCCATTCAGTTGCTCACTTCGTGGATGCCTTTCAGGTGAAATCCTAGAACGAAGCTCCAACCCCCAGGATTATTTAAAGATCCCACCACTGGACCAGCTCCCTGGCCCTTGGTCAGTACTTATTTACCTTCCCACACCACCCTTTTATTTACCCTTCCCCCCCTCCCCCACCCCTCACCTTCCAACCCCCACAGCCTCTGCTGCCCATACCACCCCCACCCTTCCCACTATATAGGTGGGTACCTTTCTGTAGCACCCTTACCTGGATTTGTTATTTATGAGGCTTTGTGGGGCTAAGAAGAGCAGATGAAACCCTAAAATATTTAATTTAAGAGAGTTGTCTCCAATGTGTTTTGGCATTGGGGTAGCAGATGAAGGTTATATTTGGCAGTTATATTGAAGTGATTATTGACCCACAGATGGATCTGGGAGAGACTATCAGGACTATATATGCTCTGATGTATTACAAAGCCTGCTGCTTTGACTTCTCAGCAGCCCGTGGCCTTCCAGCAATGGGAGATCAAGTGTGTGTTTTGTGGCTCTCCTCTCCACTAAAAATAATGATTCTCAGGTGGGTTCAGTCTCCTTTAATAAGCCAGACAATCAAAAAAAAAAAAAAAAAACAAAAAGACATCATCCCACTTTGGCGTCTCAAAAACAAGTTCATTATCTTCAGCTTTGATATTAGTTTCCAGTGGCGTAGCCTGTGCAGTGGGGTCTTTGTTCACTGGCTGATACTTCTGTTAAGCACCTCGTGTGTGTTCCTGGGTCTCGCTGCTCTGTGCACTGCTGATATGTCGTGATTCTGATCAACACAGGGAAGGTGTATGAATACGACCTGACATTTGTGGTAAGATCTTGGTTTTCATGAATAATGTTTGCTGGGCCTTATTGTGGGCCATGCTTTTGGAAAGTGTAACATGTTATTTCTCTAGTGGGGTAATAAATAAGGAGACATGGCCTTCAGGTTTGTCATTTGATATGTGTATTAATAAATCTTTAAACTTTTCATAGGAATTTTTATCCTGTCTCTACTGTATGCAGGATTTTTAACAACTGTTTCCCTGTTAACTTGGTGTAGTGTCTGTGGGGCTTTTTTTGTTGTGAGCTTAGTTAAGAATGTTTAATTGATAATCCAACTGGATCTGAATGGGGCAGAGTTCTTTTTTTTTTTTGGTAACCATCCTGAAATGGATGTTTGTTGGGGTGAAATGGGTGGTCATAATAAGGAATTAGTTTCTTTTTTTGGTAAATTGGAAATTAGGTTGTGTGTCCAGCAAACATTCTCGAAGGCCTTTAAACTTCTTGGCCAGACACTGCAGTTTTTTCCGGGACACATCTAGTTGCCAATAGTGCATGCTACAGAGACCACTGTTGCAAAAGGCTCAAAGTAAAACGTCAGTTCTGGGAACGTAGAGGCTGAGGATAACAAGAAGTTGATTGCTTTCCTCCCCTGCACTCTGTCTTACTTCCCCCGGGAGGGCTGGAGGAGCGGCAGAGCTGGGTGGCCCTGATGCCTGGTGCTTGGATATGACTTGAGTGCAGCAAGGGACAGGCATTTCTATTAATTAGCGAATGAACTTTGACTTAGTAAAAGGCCGGCGATAAGGAGAATGACTTCTGGGTTATAAACAGCATCCATTTGATAGGTGTACCATGTTTAAAGGCTGAGCTTTGGAATTTTCACATTAGTACTTAAAAATGTAAAATTCCATTAGTTAGTAGCAGAAGACATTTCATTTCTTAAGACAAAAGCAACAAAGGTGACATTTGAGGTTTTGGTAGGAACATTTTGAATTTCTATGAACAGACTGAAAATCCTATGTCAGGCCAAGTCTTGTAATTTTGTTCAGTGGACATAGTTTTGAACTACAGTGAAAGAGAACTCTTGTAGAGGAAAAGAGAATCTCTGATTAGTTTTGTTAAAAGAGCTCCTGGAACAGATGTGATTGAAACATAATAAAATGGCTACTCCGGTTAAAGGTTAGAGCCAGATGGAGGGAGGAGACTGGTTTCCAGCCCCGGAATTTCGTTCCCTTACAGGTTGTCCTTAAGTCACTTAACCTTACTGTGACTGCCTTAGTTTTTCCTCTGCAAAGTAAGGAAATAATTCCTGTCACATTTATTGGGACATTTGTGAGACTGACTTACTGATAGCCAGTTGGCTGAGAGGTATTTTTAGACACAGTTTCTGACTTCAGTGAACAAGCAATGTTGGGTTACTTTTTATCTTAAGGGGCAGGGTAACATACTCTTTGGATTGATAGAAGCACCACGTGTCACAGTGTGGTTAATTTCTTCTTATTTGTGCATTTTTTTGTAGATGTGTCAGATTTCCTCAGGTTAATTTCTGTCTTTTGACAGGCTCTTACATCTAGACCGGGCAGCATACCTGTGCTAATCAAAGACAGGCTGGAGGGAGTGACCTGCTTTAGGCTTTATTGGTTTGGCAACGTTTTAATTCTTACACAACTCTGGGTAGGTTTATGGCACTATGTAAATGTTACATAAGAACATGGTGGCTGAGAGAAGTGGCCGGAATCAAGCCTGTGAATACAGGAAGGTTAGACTGAGGACTTCATCCGAAAGGACCTTGGGAACCTGCAGTCAGCACAGGAAGAAGCAGCACTTCACTTTCCTCTAAAAACCTTTTTAGTTGATTGTCTCTCAGGTAGACTGCTGTGTTATAAATAGGTTTATTCTCCACTGGTGAGCTAATTGTAACCTTGCTACCAAAATATGAATCAGAAAACAGGAGAGGAGACATGCTGCTGCTTTCAGCATGTCCTGCTGAAGCCGCTTGTTGCATTTTGGAACATGAGTTGAATTGCGTTGCAGTCTGTTCTCATAATAACTCAGGAGTACAGGGTGTTGAGGTGGAATGGAATTCTCAGTTCATGGTGCTTTAGATGTTCTTTATTTTTGAAGGTTAAATTAGAATACCAAAGTGGCTCTTTTGTTTTAATTTTGAAATCCTTATTGTTTACTGTTCAGTTTCTGCTCAGAGCAGCAGTGAACAGTAATTCTGGAATCCCGCCTCTTTGTCTTGAATTCTTATGTTATTTGTCTGTTATAGGAGGGGTTGAAGTAAGGGGGTCTTATCTCATTCTCTCCTCCGTGTTTACACAACGAAAATCCTTGAGTCCTCTCTCTCACTACCCCTGCTGCTAGACCACCGGTTCCTCCTAGTCCAGGGTTGCTGACACCTTTTAAGGAATCAGCTGCTTAGGCCTGACAGTCCCCAGAGTCTGACTTGCACGCACTCTCTGCAGGCAGTACCTCCTGGCCAGGTTCGAATACCTGCTCTTGGTTTTTGCTCACCTCCGTGTTTCTCTCTCTCTCTCTCTCTCTCTCAACCTGAAGTTGGGCTCCAGAGGCACCATCTCTGCCCTTGTCTGTTCTCTCTGCCTGCTGGCTTCTCCATCATGGATAAATGTAACACCATGCAAAACTGCTGTCGCAGAATATCTCTTTCTCTCTCTCACTCTGTAGGGTTGCCAGAGTTTAGTTGTGAAGTTTCCATCCCAGGTGATCTCACCTGCTCTCTGGCTTTCAGACAGTGCTCCTTCAGGCAGCTGTGGGGTTCTTTTTGGTTTTCTTCCCTCTCCACTTAATCTTAAGCCTGCATTTGTCTTGGTAAGTACATTGAATTTAACATAATAGAAGTAACTGCCTTTCCCCTGACAGTATCAGTCACCCCTAATATTTACACAATTACATACAGGAGAATTTTTTTATTCGTTCAGGTGGGTATGTACCTGGAATAGTTCTTGGCATGGGGAAATAACAGAGAACAAGATGGACAAAGATTCCTAAATCACTAACTGTCATGGAACTTACAATTGCAGTGGCTTAGACTGAAAGTAAAAAGTAAACACAATTATCAGTCACGAGCGCTGTGAAGAAAATGATAATGTGCAAGAGTGTGCCAGGAACTGCCATTTCACATCTATCTCAACTTTATTCTTTCATCTGTAAAATGGGGCTATTACAGTCACCTTGTTATTTGTGGTAGTTATGTTCTGTAAAGTCAACTCCAACACTGAATTAGCAAACACTGAACCATTGCTCCTAGGGGAAACACAGGGTTAGGTTCCTGTGAGCCCCTGGTCCCAACATTTTCATCAACTGACCAGTACATAACCTTGTCTTCTGTGTGGTTATATTTAAAGACACCTTGTATAATACA